AGCAATTTAGGCGAGTTTTACTGGTTTTACTTTCTGGCGGTTTGCTTCCCCTAAAGAGAAGCGAATGGCGGGCGACCCACTAGCCCGACGGCCCGCACTCAAAGCTCCGTAAATTCCACAAAAATGGCATAATCTCGGCAAAATTGCCTCATGGCAGCCGTCGTTAACTCTTCTTCCTATTCGCTTTCTCGCAAGGTTCCAAAGTTTATCTTAACCACCCGAGAATCGCTTGTTTTCCAGCTCTTTCGTTCCATTTGTGCTCTGTCTCGATCCGTAACCAATTATCTTGGCCACAGGATTTGAATTTCTAGCTTAGCGACCGCGCCATAATGACAAAGTCGCCTCCAAGCATAACCAACCATCGAGAGGCACGGGGCATTTTTTCGTTTTCAGCGGCACGGTGCAATTTGCATGATCAAAAAATGCCCCGTGCCTCTCGACGAAGTGACGTCAGAAGCCAACTCGTCCCATTCTCCGCTATTCCTCGGTCGTGAACATGGAAAAGGGCAAATTTANAATTCACGAAAATAGCTACAACGATAATTTTTTCGCAGTGATGATCAGGAGAAAAAGGAAATTTATATTAGCGAAAAAATATTTTTGGGTTAGTGGCACTTTAAGCTTAAATCTTTGTTTCAAAGTATTTCTTTGTTTGATTTCCTCAGGTCTTTGAATGTGGGTCAGACGAATGATAATTTCTATATATCGATACTTTTGGCTCTGACGGAAAACTGGTCGATTCTTTATGCGAAAAATTCTCTCTTTAAGCTCTAATAGAAGATCTTCGCGGCTTTGAATTCGGCAGAAGTACCCATACAGACGCTCAACAAAGTTCTTGGAAATTAGCCAAAGTGAAGTTGAGCTCAATAAATTTAGTTCGAAAACATACTGCTCCATCTTAAACAAAAAACAGGTGATAAACGAATCAAATGCATACAAACTTTGTTTGGAATGTTTAATTAAACCGTCAGCAAGTTACACATTTTTACAGTTGCAAAATAATTTTAGAGAAGTCGAGAAGAAATGCGTAAAATGCCTGTCCAATTTAATGACCTTTAATATCCTTGTATTTCTTGATGGTTTCTTTATTGTATATTGAAGTATTTTTCAATGCCAGTGTTCTGGTTCAAAATCTCAGTACCTAAAACTGTTGAAAAACAACATCCCCTTATCGAAAAAGCTCTTTCAGATGACATGAAGTCACTAACTCGCTCTTGTTGCTATTTATATTTATTATGGTCTTTTTAGACTTAAAAGTCCTCTGGGCTGTAGTGCAATTAAATAGCCGATTTTAATGGCTCCAAAAAGAGCCGTTTTACAATTTTCTTGAGCTTTTCGTACGAGGGAGAATTAAAAACTAATTCGGTGTCCGGTCGTTTCGATACAATTTCGTTTCTATACAAAACTTTAAGATACCCGGCAGCCTGAAATTATCATAGAATTTCCACGTTTAGAATTGCCAAACGATACTAAACGTCTTTTGTTTTGTAGTGGACAATGGCTCGTCTAACTTCCCTTCAAATCGGGCTTGTTTCAGAGAAGAAGTTCACCGTATTTGGGTTGCGGAATAAGTTCCTAGAACTCCAGACAAACATGATTTTTCTCCTTCTGAGAGAACATTCTTTCGATCGATCGCTGTCGTATGCGATGCGAAGATAAAAAACTTTCATTGGGATATTTCTTCTACTTAACTTTTGCTACGAAACGACTTCAGTCTCAGTATCGAATCGAGTTTAGATGTCTTCCATTTGTATCGAACCGCGACTTGAATCGAAACCGGCTTTGTATCGAAACGAGAGCAAACCATAAACTGTTTCTTTTAAAGTTTCTGATTTTACTAGGCTGTCCATCGAGGTCATAGAGTATGCGAGGTTTCAAAACAACTATTTTTGGAATGACAACAGTTTCATTAGACGTGAGAATTGTGAACGTTTTTGTTTTTACTGCGATTTGATTGAGTGCGTTTGAACAACACTCACGCCTTTAGGGCATTGTGTAATTTTTTGCGGGCAATAAGGTCACCA